CAGGGCGGTGCGGGCGGGAGGGGGCGGTGGTGTGAGAGGCGGAGGGGGCGGTGCGTGCCGGGGACGCGCGCCGGCGACCATGGCGCTCGTCCGGCTGGAGCGAGTGCGTTAGCCCCAGGAGGCGGCGGCAGCGGCGGCGGCTGCCAGGGAGCGAGCCTCAAGCGGGCGGGCCCCTGCCTAAGGGAAGGGAGGAAGGGGCGGGGAGAGCGCCGGAGGGAGGCCGGTCGGCGGCGGGCGGGCGGGCTGCGCAGCGCTGAGAGGGCCCCGCGGGCCCATGAGGAGGCCCGGGGACCATGGGCTCCAGGATCAAGTGAGTGCGGCCGGGCGGAGCCGGGCCGGGAGCAGGGGAGGCGAGGTCGGGCCAGGGCTGCAGGCCGCGGGCTGCCCTGGGGGACTTGTTGCCGGGACCGGAGGGGCGCCCCGCGTGGCAGCGTCACGCGGGGAGGGGGACGGTTACCATGGCGATACGGGAAGGTGCGGTGGCGGGGTGTGCGCGGGGTGTCGGGGCGCGGGCGCTCAGGTGTCCCCCTCCTCACCTGAGGGCGGGAACCGCGGAGATGGCTCTGCGGGGTTAACAGAGCACCCAGAAAATGGTCCTACAACTGTGGAGTTGGGGGAGGTCTCCGGAAGCAAGGCACCAAATGGGTGTGTTTGCGGCGCCCCCGAGAGTTGGCATGATCTGTGGTTGCAGCCTGGCTGCCTGAGGCCTTGCAGCCCTTGATAGAATCGAGTGAGATTCCTAGAGGGAGAGGCCCCTGGTGAAGTTGATGGCTAGATGGCCTGGGCTGGAGGCCCTTCCCTCTCCTAGTCCCCCTTCTGTGAGTCTCCATACAAGCCAGGGCCAAACGCTGTGAAAGGAAGATACCTTTAGGTTGTAACTGAGCACCTGATTTTTGAAAAGGTTTTGTAATTCAATCTAGCAAATTCCTTCATTCATGCTTTTAGAGTCCCTGGTTTAGGTTTAGTTTTCTCGGGAAATTGTAGATCCTTGTAACTTCTGAACCCATTGAAACATTGTTGCCCTCCTCCTAGAGTTGGAAATTGACTTTGGAAAGTACAACTTTTAATGTGGTCCAATTTGGGTGTGTTATTTTGGACTGTATCTCCCCTCCCAGCCAAGTCCTGTTCTGGCCACTCCCTTCCTCAGTCCCAGAACTTGAGATGTTTTATCTCTAATCAGTAACAAATGTTCACTTTTTCTCTGTGACCAATAGAATTGTTTAAGGGCATTTAAAAGCAAAGTTGACAGCTTAAGGCTTTTCGGTAAAACAGCTTTCACAAGACACTATAAACGCTCGGAATGTGTTTATTTCAGCATTTTGAGAATTCTACTAGGGAAGTTTGAAAGGGGAAGGGCCTCAAGGGCAAAATCTAATAATTATTCAGACATTGCATCTCATGTCCAGGTAGTGCCCATGCAGCATGACCCTTGCCCATCAATGCATTTTCCTGAGTGGTTAGGGTTCTCATTTACAAAATGTGTCTAATATTTGTTGCAGAAGCCCTGGGACATCTGCTAAATGAAGTTAGAAAAGTTTGCTTATGAGAATGAACATGAAGACTTTAGATGACCTTTTTTTTTTTTTTATAGAAGCAAGGGGGAGGAAATTACAACATGCTCCATCCATATGAACTTGGGGGGAGGGGAGGAGTTGGTGTAAAAAGATTTTGTGAAGTATTGGGATTAAAAAGGCACTCCAAGTTCAGCTCTAGCTTCTAGGTGTGAGCTATAAACTTGGATTTCAATAGCACTTAGGAACACTTTCCAAAAGCTACCTTAGAGTTGCAGACTAAGCATAAGAATGCTTACCTTTCTTGTTATAGAGAAGTTTGGAGATTTGACGGACACAGGTGGTGAGTTTTCAAGCCAACATTAAAATGGAACAAGCAGAAGTTCAGAGGACTGGCTGTCATCTGCTCTTGCTCTCGACAGCAGCAGGTTGACAAATACATTTCTCAAGTATGTTTTGTAGACTGCATTGCTGTAATATCTGAGCACTAGAGAAAGGGAATTTACCAAGGCATGAAATTGCATTAAGCGTGAAATTAGTATGAAGAATGGCCTATTGATCTTCAAACTAGACTGCTCAGTGGCTTAAAAGAAGTTAGGCTTGGGAAATATGTTAGCTTGTGGTGAGATTGAAAGAGAATATGAAAAGAGAAGTCAGGAAAAGTAGTTGTGATTTATAGTGAGTGTTGGTTATGCAAGTTCCATCCATAGCTAGAAATAGAGATGGACAGGTGGTGAGGAAACTATCTACTTAGGTACCACTGTCACTGGAGAAAACAGCTTTTGGCCATTCTATCCTGTCAGGCAGAACAGAGGTTAACTCAAAGTGTTCACCTTGTTGAGGTGGAAGCTAAGTATGAAGGCCCCATCATGTAGGAGGATAGGAGGGTTAGGGCAGACTGAGCACTCTGGGCCTCTCCACGCTATCTTTGTTTTCTCTTGCTTGTTTCTGATACCATGTGCTGTTACAAGGACGTTGTGGAATCAGATGTGGGTTCAAATTCTAGCTATCTTTTTTTTATGCTGACTATGAAACTTGGACTACATCTGTGAATCTAGGTTTTCCTGAAAGTAAAAGGGACCTGTAGGATTGTTATGAACAGTAAACACATGTTAATATGATTGCCAGGCCTGTATTAAGAACTCTAATTGTTTTATACCTTCTTATCAAAAGACTAAGAACAGCTGGTTTTTTATGCCAGAAATGTCCGAGAGAGGCATGTTTCAGGAAATGGAAAATGAAGTTTTAGTGACCAAGGATTAAGACTGTTCTTGTGAAGAGCAGGACTTAACACTGTCACATTATTGAAAAATAAAAACTGAAGCCGGGTGTGGTGGCTCACGCCTTTAATCCCAGGCAGAGAGAGGCAGGCGGATCTCTATGAGTTCGAGGCCACCCTGGTCCACATAGTGAGTTCCAGGACATCCTGGGGCTATAGGGAGACCCTGTCTCAAAAAGCTCAAAAAAAAAAAAAGCTGATTAAACACACTGTAATTGTGAAGTTGGTGTCTGTTGTATGATTGGTGGTAAAGCATGCAAGTTGCTAGTCGCTGGTGGTTTGATGGTGCTTGATCAGACTTGCAGGCTAAGGCTGGCTGAGTAGTCTCTGTGTTAGGCACCATGGTAATGCTTAATGTGAACCATTTCATCAAACCCTCACAACTGCCCACTGGTGCCATTTATTAACCTCTGTTTTCACTTGAGAGAGTGGGAGTCTATAGGCGTAAGATCAGATGCCATCCCCAGGAAGTGTGCCCTGATGCTAGTTCCCTACCACCTGTCGGCTCCCGCGGTTCGGGTGCGGTACTGACATGTTTCTGTGGCCTCTTGTTCATTAAGATCACAGTACTAAACCTTGTTCCTTGTTGGTCTCATAATGAGTGGAACATAACCTTCTTGAGAGCAGGGACTAGAATTTGTGTTTTTTGTTTTTGGTTCCCTGTGTCAAACTGAGATTGACCCATGATTGTTTAGGAAGAATTTATGGGATGCATTTAACAAATAGGATCTGAATTAAGATCCCAAGACACTAAGTTCTTTGATTTAAATGTACACAGAGTTAAAAAGAACAATTTTCTGTTGGAACTTTTGAGGAAGAAAAGTTTTTGTAGTTCATATGTTTAAGCCAAATTGTCCTGGTCTAGGCAGAACATTTCTTTTACTAAAGAGTGTTTGTTTAGCCTGTGTTCTTTTTAATAAGAGAACATTGTCTTACTTCAAACCAAACATCTAAGCGACAATGGGAAGAGGTCACCAGTATTCAGGTAGTACTGTGAAAACCTAAACCTTAAGCTTGAGCATATTTATGTTTGAGGCATAAAAGGAGCAGAGGTAAATGACATTCTTGGATAGGTATGTTTAAATCTTATTTAGTGTTTGAGTGATCCCAGTGGACTGGAATGTGGTTAATATGAGGCAATTTAACTGATAATGCAGATGCACAGCAGGAAACTGTGGCAGTTTAATATTGCTTGTGGTGACATCCTAGAAATTGCTTCCAGGCACCAAGTACAGGAAGTGGGTTGTAAGTAATCGAAGGAAGTATTCTAAGTGAGTTTGAAGAGACCTGACATTTATGGGCTCAGAGAGAAGCATACTTTTAAGATTTGAAAGAATAGGGACAGGGTAGGGCAACCGATTTGGCCTCATGGTAGTGTTGCCTTAGCCCATATGCCTGTCTGCTGCCCTCCTCAGACTGACCTCCTTGATGTTGGTATTGGAGAGATCCATCTCTTCATTTTTCCTCCTATTGTAGAACCAAAGAGTGTCAAGCACATATTAAGCACTTAATAAACATTAGCTGTAATGATTATAATTATAGTAGTACTGTGCCCAACAGTGTGCTAAGTTCTAGGGGCACAAAAACAAAAAGATTTTTCTTTGCTCTAAGGCTTTCTAAAGTATTAGGCACAAGTACAAAATAAAAGCACAGCCCCCCACCTCTAACTTCCTCCTTCAAACCCCAAGTATAATTCAATACAGTAATTGCTATGTTGGCAGGGCTGCCACTAATGACTAGGTGACAGAGTTAAGGAGAGACTGTCTACCCTGGGGGTCAAGAAAGGAAGGGTTCATCAGGGAGATGATGTGTAAGTTGAGAGATGAATAAGGGCCCTAAAGGGGTAAGAGTGGTGAAGGCTGCTGTGGCATGACAGTGTGTTGTAAACAGAGGGAGTGGTATATATGAGGACAGCCTATTAGGGAAATAAAAATGTGACTTAAAATGTCAGGAATTGTGTTAGACATCAGGGATTATAATGGGGACCATACAGATTGTTCCTACTCTCATGGTGCTTACAGACTGGTGGACCTGACAGATAAACTGAGTAAATTCACTTGAAGTTATGTGGCTGTGTTATAAAGCAAACATCATGCTGAGAGGATGATTCAGATTGCTGGTCTATTTTGGATAGTGTGGTGGGAGGTGACACTTGAGCTCAGACTTAAAGGATGAAGAGGCATTCATCCAGGTCTGGGCAAGACTGCTCAAAGTAGAGGAAACCGTATACAGGGGTCTGGAGGCAAGAGAATCCTGGAGAGATTTCAGTAACTTGACAGTCTAGAGGGCTTGAGAAAGGGTTGATGGTAAAGAGACTTCAGGCAAGGTAAGAGAGAGCTTGAACTGAACCCTGTAGGTTGTGGGAATCTGAAAACTGCCTTCTTGAAATAGAATTCACATACTATAAAATTTTTGTTTAAGTAAATGCTTTTTAGTATGCATACAGAATTGTGGTCAGCCACCACCATCTAATTCTGGAGCATTTTATTAGAAAAAAACCCCATACCTGTTAGCAGTCAC